GTGGGGGATGCAGCAGCGTCCTCCCTGTCAGCAGTCACAAGAGACTTTTCCCTGAAAACAGAGGACGACCTGAAGGAAATGAGCAGGCTCCCAGCCAAGAAGAGGTTCCAGGCTGACAGAAGACTGCCGTTCAAGAAGCTAAAGGTAAATGAGCACGGATCTCCTGTGTCGGAAGATAACTGTGGGGAAGGCTCGAGCCCTCCTCTCCTCGAGACAGACCTTCCACATTCTGACATGAATAAAGATGCATTTGGTGAGTTGGAGGGAACGAAACCCAACAAAATGTTCAAATGCAAACATTGCCTTAAGATCTTTAGGTCAACAGCAGGCCTTCACTGCCACGTTAACATATACCATAACCCCGAAAAGCCCTATGCTTGTGACATCTGTCACAAGAGATTTCACACAAACTTTAAAGTGTGGACACACTGTCAGGCAAAACATGGCATGTGATAAACTCATTCCCACCCTTCGGTCACATGCTGTTTTAGATGAAGAAGTCAACCACATGACCACAGGAAAAGAGGACAATGTGTTCAGGAATTCTTCTGAACGGCCATCATTGATTTTGAAGACTCCTTGCTTTCCTGAAAACCATAGTTTTAAGCAACTTAAAACTCAAATGAAAGAGGAACCCATGGAAAAGGCAGAGAAAGGTGTCTGAGCGCAGCATAGCCCCCAAAGAAGCAGCCAGCAGCACGAAGCCCGGCTTGTGGTCCCTGGGAGAAGTGTGGAAATACTGTTCATACTGCACAAGCAGATGGGGTGGCACCAGGAGTTCCTGTGTTAGACCTTTAACTGTCACCAAACTTCTGTACACATTTCTGGCCCGGGAATCTTCCAGCTCCCGTGTGTTTACGGCACAGAGGGGTGGTGTGTGAAGAATCTGGTAGTGCTCCTTGTGCCGACAATCTCTCATTCCTTTTTACCTCTGCTGCCACTGCGTCTGCTTCCCAGTACCCAGCCCTCGGAGCCTGACCGCGCATGTAGTCTGTATGTGATCTTTGGAGGCATGAGCAACTTAAGACCTGAGTGAATTTACAAACCAAATTTAAAGGCTGACACTTTTCTTAAATGGGTTTTCAAATTTCAACTGCATTCTGTCTGAAACACATCAAAAGAAACATTTAAAACAACAAGGGTTGGAAATGATGTTTGAATTTTAGCTTGAGGAAAGCATAATTAGTAAAATCCATATTCAAGTATAAGAAAAAATAAATTGTGTCTAACAATTATTTAATTTCATTAATATTGAAACATGATTAATCTTGATTTTTAGTATGGTTTCTTGTTCCACGTGTTGTAATGCAACAAAATCATAGGAGAATAAAGAAATGAGATCTTTTACAATATATTTTACAAATAGTGTAAATTTAATAAAATGTGTTATAAAAGACATAATGCTTGTAACTAAGTAGGGTGTTCTCCAGGGACTACCTCACAATATATCCAAAGAATGTGAAGTCTCACCATGCCTGAGTTTGGTAAGCACTATGTGGAACTACCTTAAAGTTCTCCAATGACAGCATAGCAGGATATTTTTGTTCTTAATCTGCATCTTATTTTGCATGGGAAAGGTTTACAGAGTATGTTTTCCATTGAAAAAGTCTACACATTTTGTTTCATGTCACTGATTGTAATGCTCACAATATAACTTCACATAATCCCACTTCCTGGGATGCTCTATTCCATTCTACCTCTTTTGCTAACCTTTCTGAACTTTGTCCTCGGAAAAATGTGGGAAATAGGACTTTTTATATTTAAAAAAGGTAGGCAGTTCTTTCTTAATATCTAATCTATTTCTTGTCAAAAGTGTCCTGGAAACAGTCTGTGCAGACATTCTTTGAGAGCATTTTCATCATACGCTTTCAACATACGCTGTCTTGTCACCCATTTGCCAATTAAATCTGTATATTTGCTTTCCATTGTTATGGTCTGATTGAATTACTTCTATTTTGGAGTTTGTGAGCACATTCCCCTGTTGTGATCAAACTGTGGGTCATCAGTCACCCACAGTAAAGCTGCCTTCTGCAAGGGGCTTTTGTTGATGAGAAATGCTTTCTTTCACTAGCAGTAGTAATAGGCCTCATCTTCAAGGTGAGTGGATTCCAATGAGGTTTACTGTAGCAGACAAGGCCTCATCAAGACCACAAGTTCCAGGTGAGCTCAGATGGAAGAACTGCACCGTAGTACCCAAAGCAAGAATGGCTCTTTAAATTCTGTTAGTGGTTAGGAGACAGGTTTGAGGAAAGGGTCACAAAAGTTGGATGCTGTACAGCATAGGTTTCTTAAGTATACATAACTACATAGTAGTAGGACGTTCTGGTTACAAGCGTTGTTAGATGCCATTGAGTGTTGTGATCCATAGTACAACAGAACAAAACACTGCCTGATTCTGTGCCATTCTCACAATCATTCTCACACTTGAGCCCATTGTTGTAGCCATGGTGTCAATCCATCTCCTTGGCCTAACTCACTTTTGCTGCCCCTCTACCCTCCCAGACATGATGTCCTTCATCAGGAACTTGTCTCCTCACAACATGGTTTCTCCTCACAAAATGACCCCAGCCATGCATGGTATTTTCCATGGCCTCAAATACTCGTGAAAGTTGGATACTGAATAAGAAAGACCAAAGAGGAAACCGTTTGCATTGTGGTGCTAGAGAAGAATATTGAAGTACCATGAACTGCTACAAGGACAAACTGATTTGTAAGAAGTAATGGCCAGAGTGTTTTTCATAGGCAAGGATGGCAAGACTTTGCCTCATGTAATTTGGACTTATTGTGAGAAGAGACTAGTTCCTGGAGAAGGATATGCTTGGTTACAAGCATTAGGCCTTTCATAAAATATTTAATTATAATAATTGTCATAAAAATAATCCAGTTTGCAGCATAAATCTGAACTAGACGTCAATACCATTGGGTAACCAAAGACACCTAAAATGCAGTCAGCCATAGGAACCATTGAATATAACCAAGTAGCGTTCTCGCATATTTTTCTAATACGTTGTTCTACTCCAGCAGAAGTTAAGCAGTGGCACAAGCTCTAACTTGGTGTGAGAGAAGGAAATCAAGGGCTGTTCTATTATCAAATGGAACCTTAGCAAGATATTTTAAAGACTTCTTTTGGGTTGCCATTTTATCTGTAACATAAGCAATTTGATCCATCATAACAAACAGATTGCAAATTTATCAAGCTAAGCAATACCATAGTTAGAGTACCAGAGGAACACCAACTGCATTCCAGGTTTTTAGCTATCAGGTAGGGCAGTAGCATAAAACACTCTTATTTTGAGTGAAGATCTTTAGATCACTAATTGAGTGTCTACTTTCATTAAAGGAGGGGATACTGAAAGGAACCCTTATAAAATCTAATGGACACTGACCTGTCATATTTCAACCACTTAAGCAAGGTAATGCCAAAATGTGAGATGTGTTCTCTGAAGAGTAGGATAGTTTGATCCAATATGTAAAATACCATACCTATAAGGATAATTCAGTTTGGTCCTGCTCTAACTGCACGGAAGAGGAGGAATGATTCGATTGACAAATGGATAAACATTAATTTCAGTGTATTCGGGGATGAAATGTTGCAGAGTACTCAAAATTCATCTCCTGTTGGAAGGGATTAGGATACTGCTATTCAGGACATTGCGGGAGTGAATTGAGACATGAGAGTCCTTTTCAGATTTTGGTTAAATTAAAGCACAACAGTTGGGGATTTTGTTGAAGTGTAGAGGGGTACCATAGCTTAATGTATATGACCCATTCAAGGGTAATGTTAGTGTTCACAGTATTGAATATAAGACTATCCTTCATTACAGAGATAATATGAATGTAAATTTTCATGCCAAGATTGCAGATTAGGATGACAGATCCAGTAGTTAGTAAAATTGCTGGCATTAGGTACTAATTAAGGAGCCCAGTAGTGCTTCAGATTAAACATTGGGTTGCTAACTGCAAGGTCGACAGTTCAAGCCCACCAGCCACTCCTCTGGAGAAGGAAGTTATCTGTTACTGTGAAGTTTTAGTATGAGAAACCTTACGTAGAATTGCTATGAGTTAGAATAAACCTAGTGGCAAGAGGCGGTGTGAACTACTGATAGTGCTAATTTAACAAACATGTTTTCTTTCCAAGAAGTGGTTAGAAGAGCAAAGCTTAACTGAAATTTCATTTTGAAATAAAACGACTAAGAAATGCAACCGCAAATAAATTGAAGGGCAGCAGGAGGCATCCAAAAGTTTGTGAGCGAAGAAAAGATAGTGGAATTTTCTCACAAGCTTGAAAGTCCTCTTGCGTACTAACGTTAGCAACAAGAATAACCACAACTGCTGGATAATGTCCACAAAATAGCATGCATGCAGTTTTGTTATGTTGACCTCAAATGTTTCAGGATGTTAGAGCACTTAAATGTAATTTTTAAGTTTCTGATGACTAGCTGGTCCAAAGGGGTGTTTTAGCTTTTAAAATTTGTGATAAATGAATCCAAGGTTTAATTATTTCTAGTATGACTACACACGAGCACTAAATATATAACCTTCTCGTAAGGTTTTAAGAAGTGCCTCAACTGTTGTACTTTCCAGTATATTTATTTACTCTCCTGAGGAAATTAGGCAGATTATGAGAGCTTAACTTTCTTACCAAAAGTTTCTCTAAACTGTTAAAAATAGCTTTTAAATTAATTGATAATAGTAATTCAAGCTGAGCAAGGTTGGAAGTCGAATAGGGAACATATGGGAAGATTATAGATCTTCCAGGAATTATAGGGGGTAAGTTGTGGAGCCCAACTGGTATGGACAAGTTCAAAATGACCAAGGGAAGGATTTGTTATTCGTTGCCTCCTGGTTGTTTCTGGCTCATAGTAACCCTGTGCACAAGAGAAGGAAACACTGCCTGGTCCTGTTTCTGTGAGCCCATTATTCCAGCGACTGCACCAATCCATCTCATTGAAGGCCTTCCTCTTCACCAACCCGTCATGTGAAGTATGACGTTCTTAAAGGACAGATCCTTCCCGATGACATGGCTAAAATACACGAGATGCAGTCTTGTCATCTTTGGTTCTAAGGAACATTCTGGCTGTACCTCTTCCAAACATTTGTTCATTATTCTGGAAGGTCCATAGTATCTATTTTTCACCAACACTATCAAGGCATCCATTCTTTCTTATTCATTGTCCTGTTTTTGGATGCCTATGTGGTGATTGAAAATACGATGCCTTGTGTAAGGTGTAAGATGTCTTCAGAGTGACAGCTTTGCTTTCTTACTTTACAGAGAGATTTAGCAGCAGATTTGTCCAATGCAATATGTAATTTAATTTCCTTACTACTTTTTCCATGAGAGTTGATGGTGGGCCCAAATAAAGCAAAAGCTTTGGCAACTTGAACTTCTCTCCACAAGTTGTGATGTTGCTTATTGTTCCATCTACTTGTGATTGAGATTATTTATTTATGTTGAGGTACAGTCCATATTGAAGGCTGTAGTGCTTCATTATTTGGAGCTTTATTATCCCATTAGTTCTT